AACTTGCAAGCTATTCCACTAACTGATCGTGATAATGAGCCACAAAAAATAAAAATAAAAATCAGCTATTAGCAACCATAACCTGGTCCTTCAGGTCTTCCAATCACTACTGTAATTGAATCCATCCACTCTGCTGCTAGTTGCCTTCTTCTCTCTCCCCCCCTTTCCAGCATTACAGGCTTATCATGAAATCTAGGTCTTCACATAATATATTTGTGCTTCTAGTGAGAACTCTGGATTAACTTGTTTTATGATTTATTCGTATGTTTGAACAGAAGTCTTCTGCAAGCAAAGTTCAAAAACATCAATATTTTCTTTACATTGTTTCTTTATAGTTTTAATTGGTGTCACAACCATTATCTGCATGATTCTGATTTTTCTACATTTAGAGACATTATAAGCATCTCAGTATCTTTTCCAAGGCCTTCATTGAATGAAGATGTTCAGTGTTTAACATCTTCTAAGTATTGTTCATAACTTGACACAATCAAAAGTTTTTCTATAATTAATAAAGAGCATATCAACTTTTTTGGCTTTTTCAATTATCCTGTGTCTGTAGCAATAGTATCTTGTGTTCCTTAGCCTTTTCTAAAACCAGCCTGAAACATGGCTTTTTCCTTTCCATGTAGGATTTCAATCTGTGGATAATCCTAGGCCAGTGATGGCGAACCTTTTTAGAGACCGAGTGCCCAAACCGCAACCCAAAACCCACTTATTTATCGCAAAGTGCCAGGGCCGCATCAGCATTGTGGTGCCCTTGGGGGGGGGGCAGGGAGGCGCCTCTGAGTGCTGCCTCTGGCATGCAAAACCCAGGGGCACAAAAATGGACCACCATGCTGCAAGGCGCAAAAACAGCTGCCGCCACACTATGGGGTGCAGATACAAGGCACTGCACCACGCAAGAACGGAGCAGGGCTATTATCATGCGGGCACTAGCCCCACTCTATTTGCAGTGCGTGCGTGCTCGTGGCCCCATTTGTGCACGCACGCATGTAAATTGCTTCCCCCTCCCTTTTCTTCCAGTCCACCAAATGACAATGGCTGGTGACCTCTGCTTTACCACCTCTACTCAAGCTTGCTAGTCGACTGCTTCGCCTCCTTTGTGCTGGGCGGGGCTCCTGCTCCAGGCGGTGGTGGCCTGATGGACCTGCTGCTGGTGGCGGTGGCATGCGTGCCAACAGAGAGGGCTCTGAGTGCCGCCTCTGGCATACATGCCATAGGTTCGCCACCACTGTCCTAGGCGGTATTGCTAGTATGTGAAATTAAGCAATCTACAATACTTTACAAATTTTGTTATTCTCCTTTTTTGTAGACTGACCTCTGTTGGCCACTATGCCATTCTCCAAGTTACTGACATAGTTTGATTAGAATCTTCACAGATTATGTTGCTTGCTACATTCCTATAGGCATTCCATTAGTTCTTATAGGCTTCCAATATGGTAATGCCTGGTGTGCTGATTAACTTTATTTTCTAGCACTAGAGGTTTTTGTAACTAGGAAATATTGCCTAAAGTATATTTCATCTGTACTGTACAGAATTTCAGTTCACCCCTTTCAGTATACCCCTTTCATCTTTTGTTTGATTTTCTTTGATCAGTTATTATCTGCCCATTGGTGTTCTATGGCCTAACAATTTAAGCTGGAACATTCTTTTTTTTTTAATTTTTTTTAATTTTTATTATTTAAACCAACAAAACAAAACAAAACATAACACACATATATACACAGTATATATTTTAACAGCAATTTCGTAACAGTAATCTTCTATTATTTACATTTCCCCCCCTTATTCTTCTTTAGAGTATTTGTCCTTGTTGCCCCATTATTTCTTATTTGCATTTTTTTTCCTTCATACATTATTATACACACATTTTCCACTTTTAACCTTTCCACATTTATTCTCTCTTATTTCTACNACAGTCCAGGATTTTCTTTATCACTTCTTCCTCTGATGGTATATTCTCATTTTTCCAGAACTGTGCGTATGCTATTCTTGCTGCCGTTGTTGTATGTAGAATTAAGTACCGTATTTCTTTACTATATTTTCTGTTTAAAATACCCAGCAAAAAGATCTCTGGTTTCCAGTCTACAGGTTGGTCTATTATTTCTTCGATCTAGCTGGAACATTCTTTTGGGTTTGGAGATCCTTTTTGGAAGACTGTCCTTGTTTTTTTGTATCTATTTCCATCTTTTATGTCTTTACAGAAGACATTATAATACTGATTTTTGTCTCTTGTAAAAGTTCTTTGAACTTTTTTTTGTTAATTTGCTTCCTGAGATCCTTGACTTTCTTAGCTTTGGGTTCTCTTCCTGACAATTTGTACAATTAATTGTTTCTCGGTATTTGAAAAATCTCTTTTCACATTAATCCTTAGCAACTTCTTTGATTTTATTCCATCATTTCTCTGATTCTATATCAATCAGATTTCAAAGTTATCCTTCCTGTTTTCCTTGAGAGTGATAAGTATATGCTCAAAATCCTATTGAGAAAAGTGGTTAACTTTTTTTTCTTTCACCTTAGCCTGGCTTGGAATTTGCATATGATTAATTTGTGATGTGTGGGGTCCTTGGTGCTGTCTGAGCTTGGTTGCTTTCTTGTAGACATTACCAAACTAGGTAACATCATCAGTGCTAGAAGGGAGTGTGGTTTGCTTTCTTTATAGTAGCTTGCTCTGCCAGTGTTGGTGGGAGTGTTCTTTGTGATTTCTTGATTAAGCTGTTGTTTATTGTTAGCCTGAGTTGGTAGTTCCTTGATTGGGGTATTATTTTATTTCTTGATTGTTGGTCTAGTACAGGGGTAGGCAACCTTGGCTCTTTTGACTCGTGGACTTCAACTCCCAGAATTCTTGAGCCAGCATGGCTGGCTCAGGAATTCTGGGAGTTGAAATCCATGAGTCATAAAAGAGCTAAGGTTGCCTACCCCTAGTCTAGTATTAATCCTGGTGTTAATCTTTGTTTATCTGGTGTTGATTGCTGATAAAGAGGTATTTTGGTCTTTTGGTTTCCTTTTTGGATTTTTGATTGTTTCTTTTGAACGATAGATGTTGTTTATCTCTATGTGCCTGTTGATGACTGACTGCATAATATCCAAATATTGTTCTTTCTTGTTCTTCCTGATTAAGAAAATAATCTCATTCCTTCTTAGCTTTTTGTGTCCAGAGTAATAGAGTACGATATTCTGTATGGAAGTATCCAATTTCAATCCATTTCAATTTGTTGATACCTAAGATAACAATATAAAGTCTAATCTTCCACTGCATTGAGCTTTCTCATATTCATGCTTTTTACTTTTCATGTTTTAACTATAATACTGTTATTGTATGTTCTTTTCCTGCATGGCAATATTAACAACTAGACATCTCAAATTGAGCTATGTCAAAAACACTATTAGTGCTCTAGTCTAAAAGATCCTTAGCTCTTCCTCAGTACCATATTGAGTGATTACCAACTGAGGGGCCCATTGGCAGTACATTGCCTATCCATGTAGTTTCCTTGGTAAAATACAGGAGTACTTTACATTGTCTCTCCTGCATAGTAGAAGGAATCATCCACCTCCAGAATGTTCTTGTATTGCTGTTTCTTCTTATATTTAGCTTGCTTACTTTCTTTAGCTGCTGCCTGGGATCATTCATTCTTATACTCTGGGCATGCATTCCTGGAATTTTTTGCTGATCCCTCCCAAGGACAACACCCTTCCTCCCCCCCTCCCCCAGTGAGACAGCCCAGGAGTAGTTGAATGGAATATTGTTCCACTAGTGAAATTGTTAAAAAAAATTAAAAGGGCAGTAAAAAGCAGTAACTAGTTCCCCGCGCAGGCTATTGTAGCTAATAGGAATATAGTGGAGGGGTTTATAGGTTATTAAAACACAGCATACTAACTAGAAGCCAAGAACAGCAGTTCTGATATGGAGCCAGAGGTAGAGATTAGGTTACTAGCCAATTGAGGGTGAATTGACAATTGACATCATCATCATCATCATCATCATCATCAACAGTCTAGCATTGTTGCAGGCCTCAAGAAATGATGGGCATTGAGGTACACTGAAAGTGTAAATGTGCCCCAAGTTACAAAAATATACAGGATCGTGGTAGATTTGCAATGATAAAGTATTTACTGTTTGTGATGGTTATGTATTTATACACAAAGTATAGCTATACTCTCAAACTCTGCCTCAGTAATTATCCAAAAGAAGATAACTGGAACAAGATGGGCGAAAGATATATTTCGGTTTGGAGAAGATGGATAGATTATATTGAGAGTAAATATGGGACTAAAAAGTTTCATTTGGTTTTTGAGTGAATCTTAGTTAATGTTGTTTATATGTTATAATAGTTTATAGTTTATATGTTATAATAGTTTATTTTTATTTCTAATTATTAATATGTTATAATTATTGTGTTTAATACTAGTATATTTGCTTAAAAGAGAGTTAAAGGATGTTACAGATTTGTTATTTTAATAGAACTAATTACAATCTATTTCATACTAATAACATAACAATTGGGACACTGCCCGAGACCCTTCACCCCCCCTCCCTCCCCCCTCACCTTCCCACCGTTTTGGGGAGGGGGGGAATTATATTGTAAAACTTTTATAAAAATTTCAATTAAAAAAAAGATGGGCTATAAATTAAATAAATTGTTTTGGTGTTTATGTATGCAACATGACACTTCAAAAAACGCCAGTTAAGTATACATGTGCTCATTATACATTTAAGTGCCCAGGAAAAGGAAGAATAAGTCAGAGCCATTGGACAAAAAAATAGAAAACACAACTAAATGTAGCTCTAAATATACGCACAAACAACTAATGCATCTCCACGCTCAAAACCTTTTCTCCTCTTGCAACAAATAGACGTGCGCGCGCATCTCCCTACAAGCGCACGGCAGGGTGTAAGCTTGCTCTGCTGAGAGAACCAATAAGACTTTCTTTCTCACCACAGAGGCGGGGCGAGTGAGAGTCCCCGCCCCTCCAAGCAGGCGCAGATCGCCTGGAGTGGTTCCGTCCGTTGGCGGCTGTCACGGTATGTTGTGGAGCCGCGGCGTAGCCTTCCCTCCCCCTGGCGGCCGTTGAGAAGAGAGGCTGAGGGTGAGTGAATGGATGAGGGCGTATGTAGGGAAAGAAGCTCCGTTCTTCCTCTGGATGAAAAAGGCCGGAGTCTTCTTCCTCATTCCCTAAAAGAGGGAAGAATAAGGGGGGGGGGGGGAGGTCGGGGAAAAGTACGTTCCAGGAAGGGACGCAAAGGAGGGGGTGCTTGTTTGCTGCTACTATCATATTCTTCGCTTCACCCGCCGTTACTTCTGCGATCTTACACATTTTGCACTTCAGACTTTCCCGAAACTTAGTATCACCATCCTTGTTGCTTGGACCTTGCCCTTTCTTTCTCTTGGCGGCGGGTGTTCTTCCTTTGGCACTCCCTGCTCGGCTCAAGAGGCTCAGCCGGATGGGGGCGGGTAAATTTGCAGAAGAGGAACTCTCTTTACTGTACCATTGGAAGAAAAGGAACGCTTACATTTCTCCAGATCAGTCATTTCCCAGTTCAGAGCTCTGGTTCTGCCGTTAAGAGAAGATAGCAGGGACTGGCGGGGAGAGGGAGGGAGGGAGGGAGGGAGGCAGGGGAGAGAAGGGTAGGAACAAAATGCAGGTCTCGGTAGGTTCAGCCTAACTTCTCGCACGTGGTATGGGTATAGAATGACAGCCTTAAATGGGAATCTTTGCTAGGGTGTAAATCTTAAAGAATCCCTAAAGAAGCCAACAGCGCAAAATAAAATCACGGAGGAAGATGACAAAATGGATTAAAGAACAAGTTAAACATTGATAATGTGACAGATTCCTGACTGAACAATACACTATTTGTGGTATACAAAGCATCCTTGGGATGGTGCCGGGAGGGAGGGGCAAGTGGAAACGTTTGCTTAATAATATCGTTGCAGTGATGCAACTTGTGTATTTCCATCAAACATTATGACGCCAGAATGCAATTATCACGTCACCCTGCATGTGTTGCCTTTTGACATAATTGAAGTTTGCTACAGTTGTCACTGTTCCAAGGTAGTGCTCTTAAGGCATATAATTTTGTACATTTACCTTCAATAATAAAATAAATATTAATACAGTTTTAAAAGTTTATGAAATATTTCAAATAGTTACAAAAAAATTAACTACTGGTATAAACTTCAAAAAATCTATAATATTATTTATTACTATAAAATATCAATAGCACTAAATGATCAAAATGTATGGATATAATATATAGGTAGTCTAAAATCAATATAACACAATAAATATTAAAATTAACCTAAAATAGTAGCTAAATTAAATTAATTATGATATATAATTTCAAAATAGTATCTAACTTTTCCAAACTACTATTAAATAAATTTATTTCTTCAAATTTGTTTGAAGAATCATTGAATTAAATAATAAAAGGCTAAAAATACAAAAATAAAAATTTCTGTTGTAATTAATGCTAACTCTATATTAGATCTATCAAATATATGCTACCCTTGAGAACCTGGCTGTTCTGTAAATTACAAGTGAATAATTATTTTGAAGTGATAAATATAATAAAATTAGACCTACTGGATAGATAAGAAGATATATGTTCTTTAATAGATAAGTTAGATGTACGCTTTATAAAACATAAAAATAAGGTAGAAGAACATACACCACAGTTTTAAAATGCCTATTATTTCATGGGCACAGGCATTCTATGTAGGGACTCTTCTTTTATCATTCTTCTAATCCCTCTGGTCTCATCCCTTTTTATTTAGAATAATATGTAAGTGCCTTTGAAGTTTGCATGTAATTTTCAGATAATATTGGTATGTGTGGTGCAAATAATTACACAATTTTGAAGACTTAAATTTCTTCATAATTTTATTTGGGAAATAAAATGAAAATGTTGAGCTTAATTCTACAAAATCTACATATAAGGATGGTAGTACAAGACTGTCGGTGGATTAATGCAAGACAGCAAGGAAATGAGCTTTTAAAAAATATATATATGTTCCTTTTTAGGTTTGTGCTCAAAATGAAAAGCTGATTCTTTAACACTGGCCCATTGCCTTGAGAGAAGCATAGAAACTGTTGAGTTGAACAAATCAAACAGTTGAGTGGAAGCATTGCCATTACTAAATTGCAGTGGGAGAGCTCTTGTCCAGAGCAGAGGAGAAAGAGCAAGAAGAAAAAGTGCCAAGAAAGAGGGGAAGTACTATCTGTGAGAACAACCAGAGATTGATAGCACATTCAGGATATGTGGCAATGATAGCAAAGTGCAGCAATGAGTAGAGATGATAGCTGTAGGCTGAAGCTTGGAGAGAATCCCTTGCTAACATCAGCTGTTGGGCTGAGTTTCCTGAGACTATTATGAGAGACTAAGTATAGACACTATTCTGTAAACTCAGAAGCTGGCAGCCTGGACACTAGCAGATGCAAATGCTAGCAATTAAGAGGTACAAGTGCAGGACATGACCAGTCTGGAAAACAGTGAACAAAGAACAGCTCAGCAAGCAGTGGAACAGTCAAAAAAGGCACTTGAATTATCTCAGCAATGCTGCTGTTTGAAGAGGCCAGGGTAGGCCAACAACATTCCATTGCAGCAGACTGGGTGGGGTGAGGCAGGATCTGACTAAACAGCACCAGAGTATAGAACCCTAGATAAAAGGGTATCAGAAAGCTCATAGCAAGGGATGATGAGAGACCCTAGGAATTGGCAGTGGTCAGAAGTAGCAGAGGTCCATAAGAGTTTCAGAGCAAGAAACCCTGGGAATTATCAGTGAGTAGAAAGAGATTCATTGGCACAGCCCCAGAGCATAATACTGCAGCCTGGCAATGAGTCCTTGTATTAACCTTTTAGAAACTGAGTGGATTAAGAGCAAAATCAGCTGGAATGGGCAAATTTACTATAGGCAAGAAACCTCAAATTAAGAAAGAGGAAAATTAAATCAAAGAAAAGGTAGAAAGTAAGGGGGAATGGTATAACCTAACCAACAAAAGAAATAAGCATTGTAGTACAGAACTAAATTAACTAAGACAGAAATGTTATAACAAAGAAGCTACAGAAAGATAAGGCACTGTAAAGCAATGTAGGGATAGTCTTGGGAAAGGAATGGCTAAATGGTTGAAGAGAAACAGCAACTCAGTCCAGGGAAAATGGAGAGCATGAGAAAGAAACAGAACAACCACATCTTGTTTTGGGGTGGGGAAATATGAGATAGGACAGAACGAAATTCTTGACAGGTTTTCCAATAAAATAGTATTTCTGAAATACTTGTGTCTTGTTTCCTGACTAGAAACTAAATCATCGGGATAAACTTCTGTTTTAACATATGTATCATATTTGATACAAGGATTAACATACATTATGTTTCTCCAGTTAAGTACCTTGCAAATATTTTTAGTTTCAGGGTAATCTGCTGATAATTTGTGTAAAAATCTCAAAACTTTAAAGTCTAGAGCTCAGAGAATACCAGAATGAAGAGGGAAATAAGGTTCTTTGAAAAATGTCAACATAAACAACAGAGCTTGACTGAAAATATGTGGCTAAACTGAAAATGTCTTTTTCAAATTGATGGTAAAATTTTGTTGTTGTTGTACCCCCCAAAAATGAAAGCCGACAAAAAGTAGTTGTTTTGTAACAGTATTGCCTTGAATATTACCATCTTTCACAACCACAAAACTTTTTATTATTTTCTACTTATTTGATAAGTTGGTTGTCAAAAAGATGAAGATAAGCTGGTCTGCATATGATACATTTGAGGCTAATTTCAAGCCTTTGGTGGTGGTTGAGCTTGCACAAAATACCAAAGATGAAACCAAAGAATGGCTGATGCAGAAGATTGTAGGGAAGAAGAAGAATGGAGGTGAGTGCCCTTAGTTTTATAAGACAATTTATAAGCACTATTGACATTTTTTGTGAACATTGATTTATAATACACAATAGAAAAGAATGCATATGTGTAGGCAAAGAGATTTTTCAGGGCACTTTTAAACATTTTTTTTCAAAGAGACTGTGTTCTATTTTGGAAATGTGAATCAGAGATGAATAAAAATAGTTTTGTACCTAACAAGAGAAGCAATCCAAATGTTGTATTTAGCTACAAATATATGGCACATGTGCCAGGATATGTGTTTTAAGTTCAATTTGTCTGTTTCTCTGTAATACAAGAATTTATGAAGTCAAGGAATAAGTTTCAACTCCTGAGAAAATTAACTTCATATTTAGGAATTTACTTACAGTACAAACTCTGAGATTACACAAGAAGCAATGATGAAACTAATTAAGGAGAGAAGCAACCTAGAATTAAGGAGAAATTTCCTGACTGTTAGAACAGTTAATCAGTGAAACAATCTGCCTCCAGAAGTTGTGAATGCTCCAACACTGGAAGTTTTAAAGAAGAGATTGGACAGCCATTTGTTGTCTGAAATGGTATAAGGTTACCTGCCTGAGCAGGGGGTTGGACTACAAGATCTCCAAAGTCCCTTCCAATTCTGTTATTCTGTATGGCTTGATAAATTGCTTTATTGCAGATGACAGAAGATGCATGCACATAGACACACACACACACACACATATTCAGACACATATAACCTGATTACTGCAGACTCTAGAAATCAAAACCTGCATGTATACCTGCTTCAGGGATTAATTTTTAGGCTTTAAAAAAGTTAGAAAGGAATTCCACCTTTTGGAATCAAAAGAAATGTTATTTTTTTCCCTGGACCTAAGTTTAGAGATATTTATTAAATAATGCTTCCATCTAGTCTGAGGTTTCCATCTTGCCAGCTTTAGACCTTTTTCTTAGCTAAATTACATTTTGGAAAACCTTTTAAGAGCAATGTCTAATTTCGAATGGTTGCTGAATAGAATCATAAGTCAAGGGTTATCTTCATAGAAACTGTGTTGGGAATCTTAAATGGGGAATGTTTTACAAATAAGTGAAAATAGGGAAGAAATGGCTATCTTACCCATTTGCCTAGAGCTTACATTTTCCTATTTTTTTAAATATAATTGCAGCAACCAAATCAAGTAAAAGAGTTCTGTTGTGCTGAATAAGTACCCTTTTGTTCTGAACAGTAGAGGATACTGTTACACTTGTAATTTAAAACTCATTTGTATTCCTAAATAACTTTTAGTTAAAATTTTAGTCACAATTATTTGAATGAAAATTTTTTAAGCATATGCTTAATATTCCTTCATGGAAATTACTAGCTGTTTACTTTTTTATTAATATAACTTGACTACACTGTAATGTATTTCTTGACATTTTAGGGCAATGAATTATATTTTCTTTTTTTAAAATCCAAAGCTTTGAGAAAAGAATTATATGGATATAAGATAGAATAATAACTTTATTGTCACTTTGAATGTACACTAATCGGCATACATTAAAATGAAATTTCATTGCATACAGCTCTCAAAGGGTCACCACCTCCAAAATACACTACATAAATATGACAAAAATAAATAAATACAGAATTATACACATACCCACATATATTATATGACACAGAGAAATAACACAGTCTAGTTCGGATTATGTATACATGTGCATGGTGAGAAAAACGAATCTTGCGAGTTTACCAGATGGATGGCATATTTATTTATTGGATTTTATTTTATTTTGCTTTTAGTTTGATGTGAGTATTAGACTAATTTATTAATACTTTGTGTGTAATTTAACTTGAAAATATTAGGAAATATTCTAATCTAATCAGTTTCCACTGATGTTTCTTTTTTCTTTCTCTCTGGGTCTACACATTTCTAATTTTCCCTAATTCAGATCTCCTTTAATCCAATAATTTCATAACAGAAATGACCCAATAAATGAAATCACTGTGTAATTGGTTTAATTTTATCCAAACATGTCTTGTGAACATAACTGTCATTCCCATGTTTATGACTTAGCATAAGCTGTGTACATAATACACACAGTACATTCTCTTCATTATGACCTTAAATAATTTATTTGATTTGTTTTCCTTTTTTGAAGGAGCCCAACTTTTAGTTAAACCCTTGTTGGAGAAAGGAAAAGAGATTGAAGGAAGCAAGAACATATATCTTGTTGGAGCATCTTATTTAAGGCTGCTTCTAGGAGCGGAAACTGTAGGGTTGGTTAAAGAATGTAATGATAATACAATGAGAGTGTTTTCATATACATCTAGAAAAAACTTTAAAGATTTTGCAGGTAAAAAAATAAACAATTAATTGTGAAATAATTTCAAGTTTCTTGCTATTTAGGAATCACACTGTTAACCATTTCAGGAGATATTGTGAAATAAATAAGCATAATGTTATTGGATAAATTTTGCTCAGAATACTAGCATTCTGTTAATGTCTGATCGTCTGAACTTGGAATGCGAAAATCTTGAATATTTTGCTTAGGCTTAAGTTTTCTGTGATTGTAAAAGTTATTCAGTATTCATGTTAAACATTTTTTAAAGATTCTAATCTGTACTTTTAATAAATATACAGTATCTCCCTTAATAATTAACACTTTTAGAAAAGTGGAGAATATTTTCATCATGGGATATATATTTCATATTGCATATAGGATGTAAGAATTTAGAATCCTCATGCAATTACTTTTGCTTGGAACTTGTCAAAATAAGAATCTAGTTTTCAGCAATGCATTTCTTTTTTGTTTAGAGGACAATCATGATTTCCTTACAATGGCAGAATGTCAATACATTATCAAACATGAACTTGAAAATTTAAGAGCTAAAAATGAAAAGATGATCCCTGGCTATCCTCAGGCAAAGCTTTATCCAGGAAAGTCAATTAGTGAGTAATTTGTTCCTTTTGCATTGCATGTGTAATTACATTTAAAAAATAGAATATAAAACTCTTTGGTTCTTCATTTTAGAACATTGTATAATGTTGCAATAGATAAATACTGTCTGCACAACTCCCATAGTTTCAGTTATTTATTTATTGATCATCGCACAGTCAGCCAGATATTCAGACTATGTTTGGCATTTTTGTCTATCTATCAAGCCCTTATCAAGAACCTGGGATAGGCAGATGTGGATATTTGATGGTATTATAGATATTGTTGCAGGATGGAAGCTGTTCCCAGTAAGCCCGCCTTTTGCAGTTGACTAATGGAGAATTTGTCAATTCCAATAGTGTTCAAGTGGTGCTCCAATTGTTTTGGGATTGCAGCCAAGGTTCCTATTACGATCCTTGCTTTTGCCACAGTCGTTCTGTTTCTATTTGTAGTCTTTGTATTTTGTTATCTTCTCCAGTTTTTCTACTGAATCTATTATCCAGACTTTTTTATTTTTCTTATCGACAATTGGGATGTTATGTATGTATTATATATTCAAGATGGACAATGATTAATAGTTATATGTTGCTTATATGTATGGTGTAGGTCTATACATATATTGTATATAGTATGTTTAAATGTGTGTTATGTATGTGTACACTTTGAGAACAAGCAACTTAATTTCATTTTTAATGTGTGCCAGTGTGCCCATAGTAAAAAATGATAATAAAGGTTATCTATCTATCTATCTGTCTGTCTGTCTGTCTGTCTGTCTGTCTGTCTGTCTGTCTGTCTGTCTGTCTGTCTGTATGTCTGTCTATCTATCTATCTATCTATCTATCTATCTGGCAGGTGTCTATTTGTTTGAATTCTGTTTTTTTAAAACAAATTTTATTGGTTTTCCAGTTTTACATTTAAGTGCTTGGAAAGCAGCATGGTGACTGGGCAGTTAATAGTTCAATAACAAAGTCTCTAGTACATATCTCAGGTTGCATTATCAAAAATTCCTTCTCTATTTCCCTTAACATTCAATATATAATACTTAAATTAGTAAATTTCTAACCATGACAAACTCAAGACATTTATCAATATATTTTTGCTTATACATATCCATATTCTGTTTTTAAGTTTTAGCTAATTTTTCATTTTTCATTATAATATTCCAATGTGCCTTTAACATCCATAGTATTTAAATTCCTGGCAACCCAATATTTCCTTTATTTCACTGCACAAAAGTTATAACATCTAAAATATACATATTACGTACTTAAAATATATTCTTATTCTATTTCATATAGATTTTCTATTTCTCATTCTAATACATCTCTACTTACAAATAGAATAACCTTTATTGTCTCAAATCCATCAAGTATATTTTCTGGGCTAAAGAATAGTTCAGAACTGATTCCTAATAATTATTTTCAATTTCCCTTATAAATCTAAATCCTAAGTATTAATCCAGTTAATCCCTTATTTTTATCATTTTCCAGAATATTTAAATCTAATAATCATATTTCCCTTCATCTCAAAATCTCCCTTTAGCCCATTAATTGAGACTTTAAAATCCTCTCTAATGAATCAGAAGACCCTATTTTTTTAAACCTAACTCTAGCTTTCTTTTTGTGCCAACCAGGCTTCCATGCCAGTGCCTTTAAATCATCAGATAGATCTCCCTTCATTCTTGCACGTATTGCTTGAATCAAAGGAGACCATCTACTCATCAATTTTCCAGAGGAACTGGCCCATTTATAATCATTAAATTGTTGTCCTGGTGGATCAGCTCTCCATATTTGCTCTAGTATCTTTATCTTCAATTGGTCTGGTCTTCTTCTTCCTCAGGTTTCTTCTGGTTTAAGTAAAAGGTCATGTCCTGTTTTGTAGTTGTTGTTTGGTTATCTAAGTTTTCAATATGCTGTCCTTGTTGATCTTTAATACCCTCTATCTTGGTATTACTTTCTTCCGCTTCTGTTACTTTTTGGATTGTAGGTTCTTTGGTTGCAGTCAGGGTTTGATCGTGAGCATTTTCAATATATTGTAGTTGCTGTTCTTCAAGGTCCTCTGTCTTGGTATTAATTTCTTCCACTTCTATTGTTTTCTGAATTGTAAATTCTTTAGTTGGAGTCTGGGTTTCAATTTGTAGATTCAAGCTGGCGCCTTTGTCTTTCAGTCTGGATTTAACTATCTCAGTAGTTTCAAGAATTTGTTCAAGTATAAGTTTATAGTTAATCAAAGTTTGTTACTGGTCCTCCTCCATTTCTGAAATGGTTATAGGTAGTCCTTTCGTGGAGGCTATTTTTTAATCAAGAGTCAGTAAATATTCACCTCCACAGTTCTTGAAAGCCAATTTCACCTCCCAGCTGTTCTTTCAGCCTTTTATCTTTTTTTTTTTATAATACCAAGGACAGGTCTAGGCTGTAAGCAGGTCTCTTTGTCAAGAATGTTTAGTTACTATACCAACGTTCGCCACAAGATGTCCCCGGTAGCATTTAGAATCCTTTTCAGAACCCGGACTGAGTTTTTATCCAATGTAGATTCTTTTTCATCTTTTTTACAAGTAGGCAAAATAACAGGTCCCCGTGAAAGTAAGAACTTTTTGGGTCCCCAAATATCAGAAAAATGCAAGTCTAGTTACTTAGTTGTTCTCTTCAGGGCTTTATTTTCCCTGCATAGTCAGACACCGCCATTTTAGAGGGTGGGAAAAAGACGTTCCCTTCCCTCTCTCCTTGCAGGGGGAAGAAGTTTCAAGAAGCTTTTTACAGAAAAATACTTGGGATACAAAGAAGGTAGAATCTCACCCAGTTCCTCTGCGGTGCTTTCGAAGTACTTGATAGTAATTTTGGCCTCGGCTGGAAACGGCATTAGTGATGAACCACGTGAATGGCCGATCTTTTTCCCATCAGTTAGAAGAGCTGCCCTCAAATCAAACAGGAGGGCTGCCGCCTTTCCGCGATCAGTCGGGGGTCCTCTTCACACTCATCACCCCTCCAGGATGACTTTTGACCCTTTTCAGGGTCCCCTGGCGGGAGAAAACCAGACAACGGAGGGAACAATCGCTCCGCACATCTGCCAGTGCCACGATTACAAACTGGAAGCCCCTATTTGTTTGAATTCTAAAGTCCCAAAGCAATTTGATTTCTTCATTTTCTATGACTTTCTTTATTTTATGGTCCCACCAGTTCTTGCTTTCAGGCAAATGATACTTCTTACAGATCTTCCAATGCACCATTGTTGCTACTTTGTCATGCCACTGCTGTAGTCAGTTTGTGCAATCTTCTTGCAGCAACTTACCAGGTAGTCCATTGTTTCTTCAACTTCTTTGCATAGATGGCACTTACTGTCTTTTGCTTTCTTCTCAATTCTGGCTTTGTATACATTTGTCCTTAAGGCTTGGTCTTGTGCAGCCAGAATTAGTCCCTCGGTCTCTTTCTTCAACTTTCCTGCTCTTAGTCATTGCCAGGTCTTGTTATTATCTGCTTTCTCTGCTGTTTTTTTAATGTACTGGCCATGTAGTATTTTGTCTTCTCATGCCTCCGTTCTGTTCTGCATTTGGTCTTTCTTGTAAGAAAGACCATTTTGGTCAATAAGCCTTCCTGGCATACTACCTTCAGTGCATCTTCTTCATTGTTCTTCAGTGATTCTTCCAAAACCCTTTTTTTCTTCTTCAGCTATCTGATGTACTTGCAATGTTCCATGCCCACCTATTTGCCTTGGTAAGTAGAGTCTGTCAATGTTGCTGCAAGAATGAAAGGCATGATTCATTTTTCTGGTCTTCCTATCCATTGCTTTTAGTTCTGCTTGAGTCCAGTTCACTATTCCAACTGTGTATCTAATGACTAGAATTGTCCAGGTATTGATAGCTTTGATGGTATTTTCTTCCCTAAGTTTGGACTTTAAAATCTTCGTTCTCTTGATGTATTCACCTTTAATCTTTTTCTTGACTTTGTGTGCTTGATGTTGTCAGATTGAAGGATTCTGGGGTATTTGTAGTAATCATCACGCAGACTCTTATTGCTATTTTCATGGGGCATCTTGATTCCTTCAGTTTTCACTATTTTATCTTGTTTGATAGTAAGTATGGCACATTTGTCCAATCCAAACTCCATTACAATATTTTGGTTATATATATGTGCAGTTTGAGCAGTAATTCTATTGCAGGCGATGTTTTTCCATACAGCTTCAAATTGTCCATGTAAAGAAGGTGGGATAGTCTGGCAGATGTTTTTGATGTTTGATAGCCATGGCCTGAGTTATTCAGTATTGTTGACAGAGAAAACAGTGCAGTGACAAATATTAGTGGTGACAGTAAATCTTGAAATATTCCTCTCTTGATATTAACCTCTCCCAATCAATCACCATTGACCTGCAACAGTATCTTCCATTGTGCCATTGATCTTTGCATAAAGCTTCTGATGTTTCTACTGACTTCTGTTATTTCTAGACACTTGATTATCCAGTCATGTGGCAGAGAGTCGAATGCCTTTTTGTAGTCAATCCATGCTACATTCAGGTTGGTCTTTCTTCTTTTGCAGTTTCCCCAGAATCATTTTGTCAATTAGGAGTTGATCTTTTGTTTGTCTGCTATTGGGATATTTCTTTTCTGCTCAGGTAGAAAGAGATTGTTTTCAACTAGGTGCTATTGGATAGAATCAGCTATCAGTTAGCAATTTGAAAATTTTTGGTAAAGAGATAATTGGCCTGTAGTTGCTTGGTACTGCCCCTTTTGTTTGATCTTTCGTTATCAGGTAGGTTTTCCCAGAGGTTAGCCACTCTTCAATTTTACTTCCTTGCAGTATGTTGTTAAATTATTTGGCAGTGAGTGGGTGTAGACTAGTTAGATGTTTCAAAAAAAAAAATGCAATTCATCTTCACCTGGTGCTGACCAATTCTTGATCTTCCTTGCTCTTTTCTCTACCATTTCTGCTGTTATTACTAGTTCTTTCATTTCAGCTTCTTTTTTATTCTTATCCACCTCCTTTAACCAAGCTGCATTCTTGTCGGATTTCTTTGTGACATCCCATATCTGCGCTCAGAACTGTAGTATTTCTTCCTTCTCAGGTACTGACTGATCACTGCAGTCCCTCAATTGATGGATTGGTAGAAACATTTCTGATTGGATTGAAATTGGAGGTTCTGTCTATCATTTGCAATTCAAGCTTCATATCTGCAGATTGCCTTGGCTATAGCTGTTATTTCTGCTTTATTATTTCCAGATCTGCTCTTTCAATAGAATTTGCAAGTCTAGGAAAACCCCCAGTTGTGCACCAAGTCTTTCTGAGGTAGTACTACCCCATCCAGAACTAAAGATGATAAATCTCCAGATCCCAGATCTCCACATCCTCTAAATACTACAAAAAGGCAGCCATAGCAGCACGGGTTATGATGAATGGAGATGTAAAGCTGATTATCCTCAGCATACTGGTGATATCCCATCCTGTTGGGCCAGATGATCTCATCTAGTGATTTCATGTAGATATTAAAAAGGAGCAGAGAGAGTGCTGAGTTCTGCAGCAGTGGCCATGGGCACCTGTCGCACCAATTGGAACTGGACATGGAGAAAGGAACTGAATTAGTGCAACACTGCACCACCCAATCTCAAATCCTGCAGCCATTCCAAAAGGATACCATGGTTAATGGTATTGAAAGTCACCTAGAAGTTAAGGAGAGCGAGGATGGATGCACTATCTCTATCCTGCTCTTGCCAGAGATCATGAACAAGCATGACAATCCTTTCTATTCCATAACCTGAAACTCAACTGAAAGGGGTCCAGATAATCCATTTCATCCAGGACCTTTTGAAGCTTCAGCATAACCATTTCCTCCACTATCTTTCCTAGAAAGGGAAGATGGGAAAAATTGCCTCAAGGTGGGGATCTAATTATGTCTTTTTAAGGAGGAGGAGAAGCACAGCTTCTTTAAAGGGTGTCAGGTACACCCTGTCCCGCAATGATGCATTAATCATTGCATGCAATACCCAGAAGTCATCGTCCTGTGGGCTTTCAATGACAAGGATCTAATAAACAAGTAATAAACACTACCTCAGGTCCAACAGGATCAAACTATTTCCAGATAACAACAGGATAAGTCCATTCCCAGGGTATCTGTAATGGACTTGCACCATGCTTGGATTTCAACCAAGAGCAAATCTGAGTGATTTTATCTGTCAGGTGTTGCACAAACTCCTTCATGCAGTCGTGAAGATAATATCCAAGCCTTCCTTGAGGAGGAATTGGGTGACTTTGAACAGGGCCATCAGGTGACACTGTGAATGCAATAAGTGTGGAGAAATACTGGCATTTAATGCTCTTACTGCCACAAGTTTGGCCTTAATGGCAGCTCTGATCTGTGTTCGGTTGGATTTGTTCTTTATTTTCCTCCAGCAGTGCTCTGGATTCTGAGGCCATCCCAAAGGACAACAGATTGAAGCCCCCAGGACCATAAGCCTGTAGAACTCTGCTACCAAACCTGAGATGACCTCCAGCAGCTCATGCAGAGAGGTTGCTAAAAAGGAGGATGGTTGGTACAGCAATTAGTCCCAATTGATCCTGCAAAACCCAGTCTCAAACACATGGTCTTACATGCGGAAACTTGGAGAGCATGGCTCCTCATGGCCAAAAAAGGTTCCTGAATTACAACTGCCACCCCCTCGCCCTTCTCTATCCTGTGGCCTCAGTTGATGCCAAACTAATATGAACAATATTGCTTGAGGCTGGATTAAAACCTGATAAACTGGGAGCCAGTTTGGTCTAGTGGTTAAGGCACCAGATTTGAAAGTGGGAGACCATTAGCTCTAGTCTCGCCTCACTCATGAAAGCTGTTTGGTGACCTGGGCCCACTTTTTCTCAGGCCAACTCACATCACAGGGTTGCTGTGGGGAAAAAAAGTAACAGTATTGTATAGCACCATAAATACATATTGATATGCTTCCCTGTATTTCACTGATAGTATTGATACAATTTTTCTCTTTTTGATGAAATGATAAATGTCATCTGATTTTTGAAAAAAAATTGCATCATGGGAGAAACTTCTAAAAATATGAAACATACAACTTTAAATGCTTGAACTCATTTTGTGAACTAATCAGTCATTATAAAGAGACTTCAAATTTAAATTTAGAGGGATAAAATGCAGTATAGATAATCATCAACATATATCCATTTGTTTAGCAACCATTGGAAGTTACAACAGCACTGAAAAAGTGACTTACAACCAGTCCCCATGCTTATGACCATCATGGTATCCCCATGGTCACATTATCAAAATTTGAATGCTTGGCAACCAGCATGTATTTATGATGGTTGCAGCCTCTTGGCATCCTTCCCAGTTGGCTTCTGACAATGTCAATGTGGGAAGCCAGATTTGCTTAATGACCCCATGAATCACTGAAGAAGTATAGTGATTCACTTAACAACCATGGCAAAAAATGTAAAATTGGGTACAAATTACTTAATTTTCTTCCTTAGGAAAGGAAATTTTAATTCCAATTATTGTTGTAAATTGAGGACTAATTATATACAGTATAAAATCTGACTTGTCAATATTTATGTCATTATGGATATAGTTCTAAAATATTTAGGGTTTCTTTAGAATCATTGAATTAGAAGAAGTCATTTAAGTCATCAATCCCCTACACTCCATCCAAGGCAAGAGTTCAAATTAGAACAGTCCTGACTAATAGCTATACCATTTCTATCTGAAGACATTCAGTGAAAGGGAAGTTCTTCCCCACTCTCTAATCACTGTGCTAAATGCTTAATGTTATGTTAAGATGATGTGTTGGAATGTAGTCTAGATTCTCAGGAAGGAGTGTGTTCTAGAGAAGCAAAGGGGAAGGTTAGATAGTTTAAATGGAGGAAGAGAGTTAAAATGGCTCCTCCCTCGGAATTCTCTAGAGTATATACTTAATGGTGTGAATGGTCTGCTTTAGTTTGGCAAGATTTCTAACAATAGATGAGGATCAATAAAGGAAACTGCTTGGAAGAACTTCAATGTGTCTTTCTAGGCTTTTGGAGCATGACAGATAACTACTACTGGAATGGGCAGTATTGGGCTTCAGGATTTAGTGATTGTGGTGTAGAGAACAGTTTTCCTGACATTTCATTGACAATTGTGGCTGGCATTTTCAGAGGCAAAGTTAGGCAACTAAATGGACTGTATCTAATATTTGATTGGCGTTTCAGAACTATACAGAGTACAGAGTGGTGAGGGACTCTAGACCACAATCACTAAACCCTAAAACCCAACACTGCCTAACAGATAGAAACCAACTGTGAAAGCCTACATCTGTACATTACTAGTGGAATGTATAGAATTAGAATTAGAATTAGAATTAGAATTAGAATTAGAATTAGAATAGAATAGAATAGAATAGAATAGAATAGAATAGAATAGAACTGGAAGGGACCATGGAGGTCTTCTAGTCTGGAGGCAAGCTGTTCCACTGGTTGATTGTCCTCACTGTCAGGAAGTTTCTCCTTAATTCCAGATTGCTTCTCTCTTTGATCAGTTTCCAACCGTTGTTTCTCGTCCTTCCATCTGGTGCTTTGGTGAACAACCTGGCCCCCTCTGACTTGTGGCAGCCCCTTAGATACTGGAATACTGCTATCATGTCTCCTCTATTTTTTCTTTTCTTTAGACTAGCCAAACCCAAGTCCTGCAGCCGTTCTTCATATGTTTTAGTCTCTAGGCCTTTGATCATCTTAGTTGCTCTTCTCTGATTTTTTTTCCAAACTCTCAACATTTTTTTTGTGATATGGTGACCAAAACTGGCTGCAGTATTCCAGGTGTGGTCTTACTAGGGTTTTATAAAGCAGTACTAATACCTTACGTGATCTTGATTCTATGCCTCTGTTTATATACAACCCAGGATTGTATTAGCTTTTTTGGTTGCTACTGCATACTGCTGGCTCATAGTCAAGTGATCGCCCACTAGGATTCCAAGGTCCCTCTCACTGTTACTATTTTTAAGCCAGATCTTGCCCAAACTTTGATTTTTCCTGCCTAAAAACTTTGCTTTTCTCCACACTGAAACTCATTTTGTTGGATAGGGCCCATTGTTCAAGTTTGTCAAGATCTTTTTGGATCCTGAGTTTATCTTCTGGGGTGTTGGCTACTCCTGTCAGTTTGGTGTCATCTGCAAATTTGATAAGTTCTCCTTCAAGTTTGTATGTAGTTTTGTATGAGATTGGAAAAACAAAATCTTAAACTCTTCAGAATTTAACAACTTTTTTATTTATTTCAGTGCGAAGGTTAACAACTAATGGCATTCTACTTCAGGTTTTTCCACTTCATGACCCAGACCATTTAAAGAAACTTGGGCAAATATGGTATGAACAACTGAAAATTAGATACCAACCTTTAGGTAAGTTTACTGATTCTGGAAAAGAACAGATTCAGATTTGCATAGATTATGTAATTGTTAGGGGCTTCAGATTCACAAAGCATAAGACTGCATGTTGAGTGCAAATTCAAGACCATATACGGCCTGTGTGCAAGAAGCACTCTCAGATAATACTGGCCTTTTTGTTTGATTTGATTCTTTTCTGATACCACGTATGGGTATAGGTGTATTGTTTTGTATTTTTTTAGTGTAATGAACTGATACAAAATTAATATTCACAGAGGGAATGGAAGGATTTTTTGCTTCCCAAAGATGTTTTTTTAAGAGGCAACTGGACTTTCTTGTTTTTCTTTGAAGCCGTTTTACTTCTCATCCAAGAAGCTTCTTCAGCTCTGACTGGATGGTGGGGAATGGAAGGATTATATTCCTTGCAGACAGCTGGTCATTTGCATTCTTTTAGAGAGTTGTTGAGACCATTTGGAGGTTTATCTGTGTCCTCAGAGTCACCTGAGTAATGCAAATGGGTGTGAAGCCTTCTTGGAACTGCTGAAAGGACTGTGTTGTAGTCTGGTGATAGATGCTATTGTATCTCTCCCCTTTGGGACACCCATGATCTGGATGACTGAGAATCTCCATAGACATTTTGCTACAAATATTAAATAGTTAGAAAATGCTTGAAATTGTATATAGCTGATAACTGCAATACAGTATTTACTAGGAACAGAGCAATATGACTTTGTAAATAGGACGCCATTTCCTTTTTGGGAGGTAAGGGCTTGGCTTGACTTGACTTGATAAGTTAGGGAAATAGTAAGATGAAGATTTATAAATAGATTCATTATATAATATATTCATTATATAAATTCATTGAAGGCTAACCCCATTTAGCTTCTGCTTCTGAACCAGGTTACTTAGGTATTGCTACCTAGTGAATATGACATTTTTTTTCCCTCCCACAGATGAAATTCGCTGTTATTTTGGTGAAACACTTGCTTTCTATTTTGCCTTTTTGGAATATATCACATTTGCTTTAATTCCAATGGCAGTCATTGGGCTCCCTTATTATGTTTTTGATTGGGAAGATTATGACAAGTATGTGCTATTTGCAGCATTCAATCTGCTGTGGTCTACTGTTATCCTTGAACTCTGGAAACGATCTTGTGCTATTATGGCTTACAGATGGGGAACACTGATGATGAAGCGACAATTTGAGGAACCAAGATCAGGATTTCATGGGGTTTTAGGTATTAATCCTGTCACTGGCAGAGAGGAACCCATATACTCCAGTTTCAAAAGACAGTTACGGATTTATTTTGTTTCACTTCCATTTGTGTGCCTTTGTCTCTGCCTTTCACTTCAAATAATGATGATTTATTTTGACTTGGAATTCCAAGCACGTTTATATTATGAAGAGAACCAAAATGAATTAAGCGCCTTGATATTATACATGCCCAGCATAATTTATGCTGTTGTGATTGAAATTCTAAATCGAATTTATAGATATGCTGCGGAATTCTTGACCTCATGGGGTAAGATTATTCCACCTTTTTCATGTATCTTGTTTACTGTTACTATTATATTAACATGTATAATACAATTACTTCCACTCTTGTATGATAGTAAAACTATCATAATTTAGATGCCAAAATAAAACCTGCAATAAAATAATTAGCGTGAAGGTATCTTATAAGCATAACAACAGAGGATTCTCATTATTGGCAATAGTTATCTTCAATAAAGTCACTGTGAACAATGAATTAGCAAATACTGAAACATCTGCTGGGAATATGTGTGTTGCACCAAAGGTTTTTCTTTTTTTCCTTTTTTTTGGTTGCCCTCTGCATGTCCACAGATGACTGTGAAAGCACCATGTCTATTAATTTTTTAGTTATAAATAAAATTTAACAAGTAGGCAAATTCAAAAATACAGAATTTGTGAATAAGAAGAATCAACTGCATGGTTTCATCTGTTTTTTAAAGAGCTGATAAAAAAAATTACTAAGCCTAAAACATTGAAATGCAATGCTCTTGTTTTGTGACAGCTAAAATATCCATCTTGTTTGGATTTTTTTTCTTAGGGAGGTGATATCTATGAACCCAACACTGCCCTGTTAGTTTCAATAATTTAAAGGCAACACAGACTCCTTAATTATCTGGAAATGAAAGTTCTATTATTTTATAGTAATCACTATAAATTAAAATTTGGATAGATTTTTGGGAATTGAATCTTGTCTTATAACGGATGATGCAGAGTTTGAATCTAGAATGGTAGAGAACTGAAGTTCAAATACCTTTTCAGTTATGAAGCAAATTGCCTTTGGCAAGTTACAATTTAATTCTAATCATTCTAGATTGGGCAAGGTAAAAAGTTATTTGAGTCTGTTAAAGTTTTGGAAAAAAATATAACTTTGAATTTAACAAAGTTGATAGTGAAAGCTTTGCTACCAGGGTAACTGCCCTGTTCTTGCGTATAGTAACCCTCATACCTAATTTTATTTAAAAAGGCTTTTCTTCTAAAATAGCTTGATCTAAAATTATTTTAGTCACACTTTACTTAGTTCAAGGCTCACATATGGAATGTCAGACTATTTTAAAACTCAGTGTAGTTTTTCTTTCTAGTAGTATGGACTCTAGATTACCGAAGTTGATAATGCATCTTCTTAATATCTAGACAGTCTCATGTTTAAAATCATTCTCTATAATAAGAAAAAGAAGAAGAAGTTTTCTTCATTAGGAAATAGCTATTGCTTCACTATTCTTAGAAAGATTTCTTGATTAAGACTTTCTGGGCTATTGAATAAAGATTGTTAATACTCTTTAATAATTGACAGCCTCAGTAAAAAAGAGATGTTAACTTTGAATGTACTGTTTTGTTTAAATATTTAATGTACACTGTAAATTTGTAAACCTCAAAGTAATATGAATAGAAAACCTTAGTGAGAAAAAAAATCTCACCTCCTTATTTTGATAAACGTATAGTAACCTTTACTGTATTTAGTTGTACTATTTTATTTTCATGTTTTTGTCTCAGTATAATCAAGTTGCCTTGGTGTAATCAAGTATACACATGATATAAATATTATATTTTTAATATACATTCTGCAGTTTCTCATACTTTTCATTTTTACATTCATTCTTACCTTCATTTAAAGACAAAATATTTCACTTACTATAAATAGTCTAATATTTTCACAAATTGCAATTTTTTATTATATTTCAGAAAACCATAGATTGGAGTCTTCATATCAGAATCACTTAATTTTGAAAGTCTTGGTGGTAAGTATAACTGAGGCATTTTGCTTCTGTTTATTAATACCTTTGTAGAAAGCCAACTGAAATGAGTTTGACTCCAGAGATTACTGTTTTTGGTCAGAAAAGGCTTTTGTGTATTGTGGTTACTTGATTGGAGTAGCATTGTAAATCTTGGGACCACATTTAGTTCATACAAAGATTTTCTGCATTAAACTTCTTTCTCCAACTAATTAAAATTAATTATACATAGGGTTATATGTATGTATGTGTTGGTATGTCATATGTATCATACATTACTCTTTCTGGATATACTAATACAATGCCTTTTTAATTAATTTTCTATTCTTTTTGCAGTTCAACTTCTTAAATTGCTTTGCCTCTTTATTCTACATTGCATTTATCTTAGTTGACATGAAACTTCTGAGACAGGTAAGTTTTGTGGAAAAATGTTCTAAAAAATCAGCTTAGATGATTTTCTTTATAAATGTAAACTATTGCTCAATCTTGAATGGTTTGAGTTAAGAAATTCCTAGAACTATTTTCCTGTCATAAAAAAAATCTTATGTTTACTATTGCACTGATTTATTTGCTTACTGAAAGAACTACTGAAGTGTGTTGTTATAAAGGCTGTTTTAGTATGTGTTCGCTTGTATCAAATTTGTAAGACTGCTCTTTATTTAGTAAACAATGTTCCATGAAAATAACACAGTTTTGCTAACACTTCTCTTTGTAAATTAAGATTTGCTAAAATCATTTCTGTCATAGAACATTAATCTGCATATAGAACATTTGCAGAATTCAGTGCCTTCATAAAATATAAACTTTTAAAATATATGCATATCTCAGGCTTCAGATGTCATGAATGGGGGAGAAGCAGTAAAAGTGTTGTAATGGAATTTAAAATAAGCTCTATTTACAATAGAATTTTTCAGTAATAATAGTTGAACTTGAGGCATTTTTTTAATTATCTACTAATATATTTTTCTCCAGAGAATGATTAATTCAGTAAGGCTCCTGAAAGGTAATTGACACCAGGTCTGCAAATGAGTTATTTATATTATTATTGCTACACACATCTCTTATATCAACCTCAATACAAAAACCTGGAATAATTCAATATATTTTTAAATGTTTGCTGGAATTCACTTGATCCTTTCATTGGTTGTAAATATCATTGCTAAAGATCTGTTTATTTATTAAATCAATACATATGGCCACCCACCTGGCAAATGTGATTTTGGGTTGTTAACAACACTATAAAGCAATAGAAAAAGCAATATCTATCACACAAAAGATGTTGAACACTGTTTAATTTTGATTTTTTTAATTTTCTTAAAGAGCTTAGCAACTTTACTAATAACTTCACAAGTCCTTAATCAGTTTGTGGAAGCTGCACTGCCTTATTGGCTCCAAAAAAGAAGGAATAAAACAGTAGAGAAAAAGGTGAAAGCCCTGGAAATAGATACTGATATGTCTTTATTTGAACAAGTTAATCTGGAAAAGGGGATGGATACTTACTTGGTAAGCTATGATCTCTCCTTTCTTTTAATCCTATTAGATTTAATTCAAGTTTATTCAGTCAGGGTTTTTGCCAAAATTACATAAACATGTAGCTTTATAAAACATTTCTTGGCCATGTTTGTATTAATTGTGCCTAAAGCTAGTCTGATTTATGAATTGTAGATTATAAAAACACTTGGATTTTGATATGCCAGGAGAATTCAGTTGGAATATAATAATGTACATTGATTTAATCCAAAATTCCATCTTGTTTACCTGCTTTTGTACATTTAGATGTCTAGTCTATACCTGGCAAGTAAATTTTAATACATGCCCTCATGAATCCAGACATGAATATTCCACTTGTAATATTTGTCTGGGGGTTTTTTTCTTCATTTTTTTCCCTTTGGACACAAACAGAGAAAGAGTTACCCCAATGACTTTCATTAATGGGAAAACTGAATTTTAGGATGTCAGGTCATTTTTGTCACCAGCTTTTTAAGAGTGTTTAATTTAGGGTTGTATTTAATAATAATGATAGTCATGTAATATAAGAAAAAAATCAAGGAAACTGTAGGCCCGGTAAAGGGAGAAGATGGCAAGGAAATTACAGACAATAGGGAGAAAGCAGAGCTGCTTAACTCATACTTTGTATCAGTCTTCACACAAAAAGAAACTACAGTCTAACATACCAAAAAAATCCACTGCAAAAGACATACCAGAAACAAAAATTAAAATAAGCAAGAAAATGGTAAGGGAGCACCTATCCAACCTTGATGAATATAAATCATCGGGACTAGACAGGCTACATCCCAGAGTTGTGAAAGAGCTGGCAGAAGTTATCTCGCAACTGTTGCACTACATTCTTCATAAATCCTGGAGAACCAGGAAAGTACCATAGGATTGGAAAAGGGCTGATGTGGTCCCCATTTTCAAGAAAGGGGAAAAAACGGACCCAAGAAACTATAGACCAATCAGTTTAACATCAATACCTGGGAAAATCCTAGAAAAGATTATCAAAAAATAGATCTGTGAACAACTAGTAGTCATAACTACTAGCCAGCATGGGTTTGTCAAAAATAGACCATGCCAAACCAATCTCATCTCATTCTTCGATAAAGTGACTAAACTAGTAGACTAGCGAAACTCAGTGCACATAGTATACTTAGACTTTAGTAAGGCATTCGACAAGGTAGACCACAACCTACTCCTTGGTAAAGAAAAGGTGGAATAGACAATATCACTACCAGATGGGTCTGTAACTGGCTAACAAACCGTACTCAACAAGTAATCCTCAATGGCACTACATCCACATGGAGAGAAGTAAGCAGTGGGGTACCACAAGGTTCCATCTTAGGCCCAGTACTCTTCAATATCTTCATCAATGACCTAGATGAGAGAATAGAAGGGAAACTCATCAGATTTGCAGATGATACCAAACAAGCAGGAATAGTCAATACCGCAGAAGACAAACACAAGATCCAAAAAGATCTTGACCAACTTGAACAATGGGCCCTATCCAACAAAATGAGTTTCAATGTGGAGAAAAGCAAAGTTTTACATTTAGGCAGGAAAAACCAAAGGCACAAATACAGATTGGTCGAGACCTGGCTCAAAAACAGTAACTGTGAGACGGACTTTGGAGTCCTAGTGGATGATCACTTGTCTATGAGCCAGCAGTGTACAGCAGCAACCAAAAAAGCTAACACAATTGTGAGTTGTATAAACAGAGGCATAGAATCAAGATCATGAGAAGTTCTATTAGCGCTTTATAAAGCCCTAGTAAGACCAAATCTAGAATACTGCAGCCAATTTTGGTCACCATATCACAAAAAAGATGTTGGGAGTTTGGAAAAAATTCAAAGAAGAGCAACTAAGATGATCAGGGGCCTGGAGACTAAAACATACGAAGAACGGATTTGGGTCTGGCTAATCTAAGGAAAAGAAGAAATAGGGGAGACATGATAGCAGTGTTCCAGTATCTAAGGGGCTGCCACAAGGCAGAGGTTGTTCACCAAAGCACCAGATGGAAGGACGAGAAACAACGGTTGGAAACTGATCAAAAGAGAGAAGCAACCTGGAATTAAGGAGAAACTTCCCGACAGTGAGGACAATCAACCAGTGGAACAACTTACCCCCAGAAATCATGGGTGTCCCATCACTGGAGATTTTTAAGAAGAGGCTAGATATCCACCTGTCTGAGACATTGTAGGTTCTCCTGCTTGAGCAGGGGGCTGCACTAGAAGACCTCCAAGGTCCCTTCCAGCTCTATTCTATTATTATTATTATTGAATGTTGCTGTACTTTAGGGAAGGAAATTAATTGGATGACTCGTAGTGTTAGATGTATACATTCTCTCATGCAACAATGTCTTGATATTTTTGTTTCATGTGAAATGAATGCATAAATAGGATTAATTAGACTTCAAACAGCAGTAAGTTAGAATGGATAATCTCATTTTAATCTTATTCTCCACTTTCATCTTAGTAATTAGTTAGCCATGTACATAAATTTGCCAAGTGTTATTGCCTCTAATCTGAGAATTATTAATAAAATATTGTCTTTCTTTTCAGGGTACTTTTGATGATTATTTGGAGTTGTTCTTACAGTTTGGTTATGTGAGCCTTTTTTCATGCGTCTATCCTTTGGCTGCTATTTTTGCAGTGCTAAACAACATCACTGAGATGTATTCCGATGCCTTAAAAATGTGCAGTGTTTTTAAACGCCCATTTTCAGAGCCTGCTGCAAATATAGGTGTATGGCAGGTAATCCATGTAAATAATTATGCTTCCTAGACTTTATAGATGTTATTAGCATTGAGAAGATTAGGTCAAATATAGTCAAGGTTGACCATACTTTGTTTCCCCAAAAGCTAATTTTCTTTTTCCCTTTTTCTTTCTTTAGCTTCTAAGGTCCTGGGGAACTGTGGTAAATAACATAATGATTTCATTGCATGAGTGGGGCAATTTCTCATCTCTTTTTTAAAATTCTGGAGACCTACAAATAAAAGAAAGTAGATAAGCAAATCACTTTTTCATTGCTCTCAGTTGAACAAATATCTTGGATCTCAGCTGTCATAGTTAGGATATCTCTGTTTTTATTTTATTTTATTATTTATTCTCTATTTTATATTATAAAATAGAATGTCTCTCTTATTACATTTTGATCCCACCCACTCATCTGCAAAAAAGCTGGGAAGCTGATGCTTTAATGAAAAAACCAACACCACTGTAAATAAGATTGAGAAAAAGATGCAGATAAATCAGCATTACAGGGCCATGACATGATTTCATATTTCAGATGCTCTACTAATGACTCAGATCTTCATGGCATTATGGAAAAATCAGACTCTAAGAACCCTAAGATGTTGGGAGGAATATATTTCACAGAATGTGGGCTACCATTGAATAAACCTAGGAACCTGCCAGAGAAGATGAATCTAGAACATTCTTTCGGATCATTTAAATAGGAGAAATAGATTCCTTCTGGAGAAAATGGTTCTTTAGCTAATTTAGTTTAGGCTTCATAGATTATAACCATTACTTCGAATTGCATAGAGAAGCCACCTGGCAACCAAAGCTACACAGGCAACATAAGTGTAGCATTGCCGTAATTATACAGATTCTTACCTAGTTGTAGGTAATTATACCAATGAATATTAAACAAAAGAGTATCAGAAAATAATGTGATTGTAGTTAATACATTTTATTTTTTTTATTTCTTTATTTCTTTTAGATGGCTTTTCAAACTATGACTGTAATCTCAGTTATTACCAACTGTATCCTAATTGGCATGTCACCTCAAGTAAATGCACTCTTCCCAGATTCAAAATCTGAACTCATCATAATTGTAGTTTTGGCAGAGGTAAGTCAAGGTTTAAATATTTCTTATATTTCAGAAAAAGTTACTATGGCTTACATATACTTTATGACTACCTTTACCTAGCCATAAATCCAAGTAGTGGATTTAACATTTTAATATTTTAGCAATCCCTTTGTACCATAATATGTCTCTGCTGTGAAATCTCAGTAGGTTATAGAAAGCACAAATTTTATCTTGATTGGAGACCCATGAATTTGGTTTATGAAGGAAAATTGTAGAAGCAAGATAGGTGATAGGTGAATGCAAAAGCGGTATTGTTGAAAACATCATTTCTTGCTCTTTATTATATCCAGCTAGGAAAAGACAAGGAAGCAAGGCTGAGAGCAACTATTGGAAGAGTTAAGAGTTTATATCCACAAATCCGCTATAAGTAGTCATCAACTTATGACCAGTCACCTAGCGATTGTTCAAAGTTATGAAAAATTAAGAAAACATTTCTTTATAAGACCATCAATTCTGTAGGCTATGAATAAAAATAAATTATTTTATTTTGTTTTATTTATATGATTTATATAGCCATCCATTTCTCACAAGTCTCTCTTGGCATCTTACAAGGTTAAAACCCACCAAACATAACTCTCTGGTTAAAGAAAAGCCACATGAGTATTTATGAAGATAGAAAATAACTAGCTTTCTAGTTCAAGATGGCATAAGATAACTGCCATTACTTTTCCAAACTTGAATCAAAATCATTAATTATATGCTTCTTGAGTAAAGCCTAATTAAAAGTATTTTGTAAATTCTTCTAAAACTTGTACTGAACTGAATTGTTGATCTGTTATGTTTAGATAACATATGTATAAATTGTTCTTACAAAATGTTTGTTATAAAGTGATTAATCTTAACTTCATAATTATTGTTACAATATATTTGCATAGAATAATTTCATGAATGCACTCACTAGCATTGTCCTTGGCTCATTCATCTTACTAAATTGATTGAGTTCCACCATAAGGGGGCGTGTGAATATACTGCACAGTACAAGTTGTTACTTAATTGAATTCTTGTTTTCCATGAACTCGTAATACTATGAATGTCAAATGAAAACATTAATAGAATTAAGAAAAATAGTCTCAAGTAAAAGAACTTAATAAAAAATTGAATAATATAATTCTGTCCATATTTACTGAGAAGTAATCAATGCAATGTTCAGGGAAACTTAACTACTTAGTAAAATCAAACTTTAAATACACTAAGTAGTCATTAATAAACTAATTTAATCTACATTTATCATAAATCTGAATCATATCCCATAGCCTAGAGTAGTGGTTCTCAACTTTTTCTTCACCTTAAATACCTTTTGTGACCACTGCCACGGACTCCCAAGACCTAACTCAAGATTTAAATCATAACATTTTTTTCAAGTCTTCACATACCCCCTATGACAACATTGCGGCCCCCCAGGGGTCTGCGGACCACGGGTTGAGAACCACTGGCCTAGAGACTTCTATAAGTACCTTTGGAAATGTGATTTTTTTTCCAAAAAATGTATTGGAGTATAATTCATAATATATTCATTATAAAGAAAAGAAAGAATCAAATCAATTCAGCTGTTACTTTTAAAAATGACTGTAACTGTAGCTCCTTTACTTTTCAGCTCCTATACTCGTAATATCCATTTTCCATTTCTCTAGACCATTCCCATTCTTATTTCACTTCACAGCTGTTTTCCTTTTCATAATAATTAAAATTTCTACTGGCATTTGCTGAGTGTGCTGTCATCACGTTACCTATTTCATGTCACTTTATTTTCCATCTTGCTTCTCCTATCTTCAGTTTCCATATACCAGTCTTTTCTAGCCTATGTATACTATATTATACTAAACAGCTGATTGTTAATAACTGTTAACAGCTATCAGGGCCCGCTTCAAAACCACATCCTAAGAAAGCAGAACTCGTGGAAACAGTTTTGTACAAAAGGAACTTTTATTAGGAGAAGCTGATAGCAGGCATACTAGATAGGATCTGAGGGTTTCCCACTCAGATCAATAGGTTAAAAGTGTCCCAAGCAAACCCCACCCCAAAGTTCATCCGGTCAGTTCACATGGGCCAATCCCCAGGTGTTAAGTCCATTGTGGGAAAGAGCAGATAACGCCAGTCTGTCTCAGGGTTGCAGTGATGTTTTGTCAGCTCTTCACACCTTCCCTTCCGAACGTGGAGATAAATCAGTTGCCGGAGGCACATTCCTTTCTTCTCCCCCCTCTTTCTAGCTGACATCAAGGGAAAAGATAGTTCACAGAGGAAGTATGCAAAAACAGCAAAGTATTACAGTGTAGCGATAGAGGAAATCAGAACAATAACCCGCAGTGCTTTTCTCCCCTCCCATCCAGGGCATGGCAGAACCCAAAAGTATAGAAAGATTAGAGCCATGGTGGTAAACCTATGGCACGCATGCCACAGGTAGCACACAGAGCCATCTCTGTGGGCACGTGCACCGTCGCCCCAGTCCTAGGCCTCCGCCACCGTTGCAAAAAAAAAAGGTTCAATCAATCAATTTCAACTTCTTGCAGGAAAAAAAAGATCTCACAAAGTTGGAATTGCTTGATTGAACTTTATTTTCAGTCCCACACAGCGGTGGAGGAAGTGATGCGTCGGAGCAAGAAAAAAGGTGCCGTGTGGGGGTGGGGGGAGCGGTGGGAGGGGTGCTCCATGCGAGGGGTGGGGTGGGGCCTGTTGCTTCCCTCCCCCTGCCAGACACCTGCCGAAGCTGCGCAGGGTAAGGTTGCTGCCCCCACCCAGATGCCCTCGCCTCCCCCGAGCATTGTTTTACTAACCTGCCTTTCAGCTGCATTCCATTTCTCCATTCACTTCTCAGCCTTTGCCATGTTTTATGGGACAAAAAAAAGTTCCATGAGACTTTCTAACTTCTCGCAAGATCTCGTGAGAAGTTAGAAAGTTTGATAGTCCCACAAATATGCAGCGAAGGCTGAGAAGCAAATGGAGATACGGAATGCAGCTGAAAGGCAGGTTAGTAAAAAAACGCTCGGGAGAGGCAAGGGCATCTGGGTGGGGGTGGGGGCGAGGGGCGGTAACCTTACCCTGCATGGTGGCAGGAGGGTGGGGCACGTGCCCTTCCCATGCCAAGCCAGCCCCTCCTCGAGCCTCTGGCACTTCACCTGCTGCTTTGGTGGCTCTGTAGGCAGAGCTGCGAAGTTCTCTTCTTTGTCAGAGAATTTCACAACTCTGCCTACAGAGCCACCAAAGCTGTACTGAAGGGGCAGGTGAGGGGGGAACCTGCCCCACTTGTTCTGCGGCCTCATGGCAGTGGCATTGCGCAGGAGGCGGCAAACGGCCAATTTCAGCGTGGCATGGTTGATTGCCACCTCATGTACCCAATGCCCCTGCAATGCGGCTCAGCTGAAAGCGGCCATGGAACAAGTGGGGCAGGTTCCCCTCTCACCTGCCCATTCAGCTATAGCTTTGGTGGCTCTGTAGGCAGCGCTATGAAGTTCTTTGACAGAGAACTTTGCAGCTCTGCCTACAGAGCCACCAAAGCAGCAGGTGCCAGGCCAGGGAGGACCCAAATTTGCCCCCTTGGGGCTGTCCCAGAAATGGCAAGGGACTGGCCCCCACTGCCCCAGCCCTGGCTCACCCCAACCCGGTTGGGCGCCCTCCCGGTGCACATACAGGAAACGGCAAGCGCTCTGGGGCTGGGCTGATGGTTTGCAGCAGCAGCTACAGCTCATTTGCTTCATCCCATCCCATTCCACCCCTCCCAGCTTCGCCCATCACACCTGGCCATTCCCAAGTTTGCCGGGCCTCTCCTCGTCCCGGTTCTGCTGCACCATGCCTTTCCTCACTTGGGCCTTGGTGTTCTGTAAGCCTAGCGCCCCAGGGCACACCCGGCCTGTAGGATGAAAGGCGCAGAGATGGGAGCGCACAGTGGCATAAGCTGAGCATCTGCCGGCTCCCATTTGCCCTCTCTGCCACATTGTAGGGCCGGAAAGGGGAATGCAGCAGTCATGCAGAGCTGCAGCCTGGAACTGCTGGCGGCCGGCAACGTGTGGTGGACAGAGAGAAAGAGTGAGAAGGAGGAGAAAGGAGGAAGTGTGTGTGTGTGTGTGTGTGTGTGTGTAAGAGAGAGATAGCCAGGAGGGGACGACGAGGAGGAGGAAGCCAAGGTGATATAAAAAAGGGGAGCCTCCCCCTTTTTTCTCCCCCTTCTCTTTTTTAACCTCCTCCCACTCCGTTCAGGTGCAGCTGGAGGAAAAGAGCGAGAAGGGGGAGAAAGGGAGTTTTTGTGTGGGGGAGGGAGAGAGAGATAGAGATTGAGCCAGCAGGGAAGCGAAAGTGTGGGGAAAGGAAAGCGTTGCAGAGTAAGTAAACTTTAAAAAAGGGGATCTGCCGACAGTTCCACACTGCGTTTCTTTATCCGGTATGAATGCTGCATTCTCCTCTCCAGCCCTATCACGTGGCAGAGAGGGCGACATCAGGCTTGTGCCTCCATGCTCTCCCATCTCCCTGCCTTTCATCCCACAGGCCAGGCGGCGGGCGGGCTAGGCCTTTTCTTTCGATCCCCCTCCAGGGCGGCCCTGAGGATCTAAAACTGACCACATTCTGGATGGCCGACACGAAGTTTAGATCAGCACCGCCCCCGCCACCAACACCTCCATGACGCACTGCCTGGCATCATAGCCTGTGAGTGCTTCTCTTTCCCCACCCCTGCGTGGGAAAGCCACGGCCACCAGCAGCGAAGAGAAGCAAGATGACAAAACTAGATGCAGTCAGTTTGCAGAAGGCCAGCGAGAAGGTGAGGCTGTTTGGGGGGTCAGGTTAGTCACGTTGCGATTCTCAGAAAAGTGAGAGGCCCAAAAGAAATATATGGAATTATCTGCAAAGGACTTCTGGGGAGATGGCTTGGAGCCATGTGCTGCGTCTAGGAGGTGATGTGCAGGCAGGCGAGAGAGCAAACTCACAGATTGGCTTTGGGTCTATTCTTGTCACCTCTCCTCCCTAAAATCATAGAACTCTTTGGATTGAATGGGAAGTTAAGAGTCAACTCCCCCCCCCAATTATTTTGTCAGAGGCGTGGAAAATGTTTCTTGCTTCTACTTCCTCTCATCTGCTCTTTTATAATTTAATCCAGCCTTACCCAAACTAATATCTTTTGGGTGTCATGGACCACAGTTCCCATAATCCTGTGGCTATGCTGGCTAGAAATGCAATGCCTTATTTTCTCCGTAGTATGTGCCTAGGAGGCAGTAGGTCTGTGGGATTTAGATGTATTTAAATATTTGTTTCTTCTGCCTAATTTATTAAATCAACATCTAATTTGAAATTAAATGTTTCTGAGAAATCCAGGGTGGTTTACAAAAAAAACTCTCAAAGACAGCTGTTGTAAAACATCACCAGCACTGCTTCAAACAATATTAAAAGTGTGTATTTTAAGAAAGAAAAATATTAGTAGTAATTTATTTAGTGCTGTTTGACCATAAAATGTGGTGTTGTTCTACATATGCTTGGCTGAACAGTGTTTGAAGTTGCCTCTAAATGGGTGAGGGATGCACTGTTCATATTTTCCTTGGAAGAAAGTTCTATAATTGGGGTGCTGTCTCTGAGAAGGCTCTGCTCATGGCCATTGTTCTATAAACCAAACCAGGGGGACCATCTGGTCTAAATGGATAGTAAACATAGATGATTAGGGGGCTGGAGGCTAAAACATATGACAAATGTTTTTGGGAATTGGGTGTGTCTAGCTTAGTGAAAAGGACTAGGGGTGGTGACATGATAGCAATGTTCTAATATTTGAAGGCTGCCACAGGGAAGACGTGGTCAGCCTATTTTCCAAAGCATCAGAAGGCAATAATAGATGGAAACTAATCAAGAAGAAAACCAGCCTAGAACTAAGGACTTGTGAAAACAACTAACCAGTAAAAAGGCTTGCCTTCAGAAGTTGTGGATGCTCCATCACTGGAGGCTTTTAAGTAGAGATTGGATATTCCATTGTCTGGAATGATATACGTCCCCTGCTTGAGCAGGGGCTTGGACTAAAGATCTCAAAGGTCTCTTCCAACACTCTTTGAGAGAAGCGCTGCCAACCTCTCCCCCTCCCCTTGTCCCTTCCTGGGCACAGAGAGAGGGAGGGAAGGAAGGAAGGAAAGAGGGGAGGAAAACAGGAAGAAAGAAAGGGAAGGAAAGAAGGAAGGAGATGGGAATGAAAAGGAGGGAGGAAGGAAAGAAAGAAAGAAAGAAAGGAAGGAAGGAAGGAAGGAAGGAAGGAAGGAAGGAAGGAAGGAAGGAAGGAAGGAGATTGGAATAAGAGGAAGGGAGGGTCTGAGGGAAGTCCTGTCTTAGCACTTGGCCACCAGCGGCCCTGTTGCCCTTTTGCCATCCCCTGGTGGTCTCCCATCCTATTGCTGAGGATGCTTTGATTACAAAGCCAGGTCTCCTCGCATGGAGAGGGAGTGGGCCTCCCTCTGACCCACGCACTTTGCCCTCCTGCACCCACCATGAGCAACCTGGCCAAGGAGAGCAAGCACAGAAGCAATAGCCTTGAGGAGGAGGTAAACGCAGCTGGGCACCCCCTCGGGGAAGTGCGGCTAGGGTAGGCAGGGCTGTGGGGTCCTGGTGCCGTGGGAGCTCAAGGGCCAGGCTGGGCGCTTGACTTCCGCTGCCCAGGTCTCCCGCCACCATCGGTGCCACCAACCAGGGGCCCCCTGCATGGCCTGAGCTCAGTGAGGCTCCTCCAGTGGACCATGCCCCAGTGCTCGCCCCGGTCCCACCCATCCCTCCACCGGAGACCCTCAGCTCCATCCCAGTCCTGCCCAGGCCCGCACAAGTGCCCCTGACACGAGTGACATCGAGCTGGCCATGCCCACCCAATAGGCCACGCCCACCCAGTGGGCCACGCCTACCCAGTGGGCCATCCCCATCCGGCACCTGATGATAAATAAGTGGGGTTTGGGTTGCAGTTTGGGCATTCGGTCTCTAAAAGGTTCACCATCACTGGATTAGAGTATGAGTTAAAGATAGAAAAGAGCCCCCTTAGAATATGGGTTCTTCCTGTTACCATTAGTTTCAGCCTTCTCTGTTCTTTACCTGTATCTCTGTATCATTCCACTAGTTCATTTTGAGATAGGACTATAGGTGAAAAATAAATATGAAAAGTTTTCTCTGAAAAAGAAAGCCATATTTAATGTTAACTATAATATCTCATTCTATTATACTTTAGTCTTGCCTATCTTTTATTATACTGGAGACCTTGCAATAACTGTGTGCTGAAGGACCTTGCTCCTGCACTGATGCACCATCTGTATTCTCATAGAATTATTTTAATTAATGAAACTGATTTGTAGCTGACAAGTTTCCTACTTCAAATAGTTTTATGTTTTCCTCTTTTTATACTAATATAACTTCTTGTTTTGTCAAAAGGTTTTGTTTTGTTTTTCTGTCCTTTTTCTAACTATCTTACAACTTTCTTAGGCAAAAAAAAAATCTGTGAAATGTTTTCTCTATACATTCTTAAAATATTTTTAGAAGTTGAATGCATTATATTAAAATTTTATGCATCCCCCTTTCTTTTTTTATTCAGGAAATTATTTAGAAAAGCACTTTTTTTCCTGGAACTTATCTTCATGGGCTTTCCTGGAATTAGCATGTTTGATACCAATTACAAATGTAGGATTTCCTTTCTCCTTCCATTAGTGAATAGAGAAAGACAATTTGCAGTATGTTTAATTCCTCCAGTCATACTAATTAACATTGAAGATGAAATTGGCAAATTTCTTTTGTTGGAAGATCTAGCACAGGATAAAATGTAGAAAATTTGATAAGGTTAAAAAAGGATTTTTGTTGTTGTTTGAGGAGCCACAGTGTACTATTTGCCTCAAAGTGCAGTGTTTTCCCTTAAAATATTTGCTGATGTGAAAGTGTAGACTGGTAAACATAAGTATTTTGGCTGTTTCTAGCATTAAAGGATTTCGCAAGTCTGTAATAAAATTGTTGTAAGAATACACTAAATTAGATATCCAAGGTAATAGAGAAGAATGGAATAAGAGATGTCTGGTATCAAACATTAATAGATGAGCATTTGGGTATTTGTTATATTTCTTCCTAAAACAAAAATTGTTGGGTTCAAATAATAGTTGACAATGTGGCATTCAATATAAAGCATTGGCTCAATGATTGGTTATGTGTGGCTTCCTTTGAGGCAGATGATATTTCACATATTAATTTTCCCCTGGAATACTGTTGGGTTTTTTTTCAAACATTTAAACCTGAAAATCATCAGCAGGTCAGTAAAAATGGATATTGCATCTATTTATGACTGCAGCAGCAGCAGCAACAACAACAACAATAATGAATACAAATATATAGGAACACATTCTCCATCAGTTACAAAATGCACACATTTTGCAACAATTGTTACATGATCTAAATAAGCTACTTATACTACAAGTACTACTTGTAGTATAATTAGAGATTTAGATTGCATACACAGTTTACATGCTTAAAGTCCCAGTTCACAATAAATATTCATATGATGACTTGATTTTAAACAATTTACTGGAAAATAGCAAGTAGTCATACACAAAGGCAAGCTGATTACTGAACAATTACATACATGCCTTGTTTGAGAACCAGGCTGTTAAAGAACTCAATCCAGAATAAAAAACTGAGAATGGGTCCAGAGATACAAATAATCCTTGAGTTATGACCATAGTGAAGTCTATTCATTACAGTTGGACTTCAGGATGGCCGTAAGTAAACATGTGGTCCCTCAGGCAGGGGAGACTCTGGGATCCTAGTGCAGGCACAAGCCCACCTGCCTCACGCCTCCCAAGGCCTTTCCCTACCCCCTGATATATCCCATGTTCTTCTTCTTGTCCCTCGAGATCAGCTTGGACCTCCTCTCCACCCCTGTCACAATCATACATTTACCTTTCAAAGCACCCAGGAAGTAGGAGAGGAAAGGAGGACAGGCTGTTACGTTGCTAGGCCACATGGCACAATCCCACAAGTGGCTGTATTTTTCTGAGTGCAGCTGCAAACCCAGCGACCCATGCAGCATAGCAACTAAGGAGTTTGTAACTGTGCAGCATGATCATGGAAGCACTGGTTGAAAAATGACAGTCACTTGTGGAATCCCAGCCACAGAGAGGTTGCTTTGCTTCTCTGAGGTTGGGAATCCCACAAGTAGCTGTCATTTTCCAAGCAACAGAGAGCTTTGCTTTTAAAAGCTTTCCAAGTTTGTGGAGAATTTTGTTTTTCTTTATGAAAGAAACTAAATCTCTCAACTTTCCAAGCAACAGAAAGCTTTGGTTTTCTTCACAAAAATAACCAAGGCTCTCTGCTTTCCAGAAATGGAGAGGTTTACTTTTAAAAATAGCATTGTTGAGATGAAGGCAGGGGGCTACAGCACAATGAATCTGATCAAATCTTGTCTTTTCCTGATACCATCTCCTAATTTAATCATATAAGTATATTTCAGATACGATGTATATTTCAGAGACTGAATACATATTTTATTCGGTTGACGTGCAATACTAATCCTGTTCTTCAAATTATGATGGTTCAATTATGCTTATTATTAGCTGTTGAACTAAAGAGTGAATATGTCAGCACAACATCAAGATACTAAGATCTCAACCCTGAATGCTATTTTATTCATCTACTTTTTTTTTTCAGCATTTAGCCCTAGCAGTGAAATTTCTTATGTCCTATGTGATTGCTGACAAACCCCAAGATATTCAGATAAAAATGGCAAGGCTAGAATTTGAATCTTTGGAAGCACTGAAACAACAGGTAAGGACTCTGATACAGGCAAGACAAATGCAGAAAACTATATTGCTTTTCTTAACTAATTAATTAATTAAATTATGTGACAATTACTCATTTGTTTAAAAATGTATGATGGTCGCAGCTGTTCAATTTTTAATTTTTAAATAATAATAATCTATAATATGTATCTGCATACATGTCTGTAAGTCTACATGCATATGTCTCCATTATAACCCTTACATGACATTAATAGACAATATTAAGAGTGTTAAGGTTAATTAATAGGAGCTGTGGTGGCGCAGTGGTTAGAATGCAGTATTGCAAGCTGACTGCCCACAGCCATAACCTGTGACATGCAACTTTATAAATACATGCCAGTTGCCAAGTGCTTGAATTCTGATCATGTGACCATGGGATACTGCAATAGTTGTAAGTGTGAAAACTGGTCATAAATCACTTTTCAGTCATTTAATATTTTTTGTTGAACTAATACTTCCCATTTATTCACATTTGAAGTATGCTTGAAGTAATTAGGGATGTAATATAAAATAATTCTGCATTCTAAAGTATGCTAAACCATCAGGGCCAAATAAGGAGCTTAACAAATATTTTAATTGAATATATTGTTAGTCAGCTATTTTAGTTTTCAAAGTATCATTACATATTAATTAGCTAATATTTTAATTATTAATTTTCATCTCAAGATTTCAAAAAAAAATCTCTCATTGGATAAGTAGTTCCTCTATCGAACAGTTATTATTGCTGAAAAGCTTTTTCTAGAATACAATAGGAATCTGTCATTTTGTAACATAAATATGTATTCTTGGATAATATGTAATGATTTAACTTTTCATACCTGTGAAATATTGGTTCTGATTAATTCTGATCAGCTTTCTCACCTATGATTGTAAGATATAACAGCTTCTTAAAAATATTGGAGAGCTTTGAGGGAATCTGACTTTTTGCTATCTAATCATTTGCTCCAGCCTTTAAAATTTCCTCCTCTTTTTCTTTTTTATTACTCTATTGTTGGAATAGGGATTTGTTTGTTTGAAAACAACAATTTTTTAACACATTCATTCACGTGATAAATGATATGTGGGAATAATATGAGGGAAGACAGAGCAACAAGAACAATCAATGGAAGTGGTAAGGCCACACCTGGAATACTGCATCCAGTTTTGGTCACCGCGATGTAAAAAAGATGTTGAGACTTTGGAAAGAGTACAAAGAAGAGCAACAAAGATGATTAGGGGACTGGAGGCTAAAGCATATAAGGAACGGCTGCTGGAATTGGGTATGTCTAGTTTAATGAAGAGAAGGACGAGAGGGGACATGATAGCAGTGTTCCAATATCTCAGAGGTTGCCATAAAGAAGAGGGAGTCAAGCTATTTTCCAAAGCGCCTGGAGGCAGGACAAGAAGCAACGGGTGGAAACTAATCAAGGAGAGAAGCAATCTAGAACTAAGGAGAAACTTCCTGACAGTGAGAACAATTAACCAGTGGAACAACCTGCCTCCAGAAGCGGTGAATGCTCCAACACACCTTCAAAAATTCTTCTGACTGGACAGCCATTTGTCCGAAATGGTATAGGGTTTCCTGCCTGAGCAGGGGGTTGGACTAGATGACCTTCAAGGTCCCTTCCAACTTTACTATTATTATTATTATTATTATTATTATTATTATTATTATTATTATTATTATTATTATTATTATTATTATTATTATTATTATTATTAAGTAAATGCAACCTGGCCCACAGCAGGAATGTGGGCAGAGCAAGAGGCTCAGAAGAGATTCTCTCTATTTGGAATGGAGGGGAAGAGAAGTACTTTTAGATTTGCAAGATTTTGTTAATATAACTTTATAATAAAGTAGAATTAGTTGACTTGTCTTCATATATAAAATTTTACTAATTTTATCAAGATATAAGATACAAAGGAAAATAAAAAGTAATGGAAAACTAGGGGAAGGAAAAAAGAAAAAGGGGGAAATGTGGGGTGGAAAGAGAGAAAAAAACTGTTGACTTCCAACACTGTTTGGCACAGTAGAAGATAATAACATTATAACCTCAACTTTTTACTTTTATACAATATGCTGGCCATTTCTATACTAACAAATCTGTCTAATCAACAAAAGCAAAAGCAAAATTTCATTTTTTCCCCATCACAAGCGCACAGTTCGGAAGCAGTTTCCAAATAGAAACAAAATTAAATATATTCTCTTCTTTGGATAAAAGAATCAATTTAACAATCTCTGCTTTTCCTTGCTGTGGGAAATAATATATATTACTATTTTCTCATTAATAGTTATAGATTGTCATAATTTATATTAATAAAATTTAATATATTCTTTCAAACTTTTTAACCCTAAAGGAAAAAAAATACTTTTTATAAATTTTGAAACATTAATCTTTTTTAAAAAATAATTTCTAAAATCAATAAGTTCTAACACATCTTTTTTTAAAATTTTACTCCTGTTTAACTTCTTCTTATACATTAAAATTAATTTTCAATAATATTTTACAAACTTTAAAGATAACTCAAGCATTATCATACTGCCCTATGTATAACACAGGCAGAATTAAATTATTGTCTCTCCTTGGAATTGATCCCTATGGTCCCAATGTTAGTAATTTGGTCTTATATTGTCTAGGGGATGGCTCCCCCTATATTACTTCTCAGGTTTCTAAATTTCTTTTAAGAGCTGTAACTATTAGAGGAGAACGTTGTAATTCCCTTTAGCCAAGGCTTCTGGTGTTTAATTGTTTGTGATTATATTTTTCTTGTGTCTTTTTTTTGTTGCACTTGCATTTTGGTCTGCACTTGCAAAATAAAATATTATATATAACTCAAGCATTATATATAAAGGAGAAAATACCCTTCATTTTCAAACCCACTTTATAAACCCAGAACCCAAATCACAAAACTACATTAAAACTTTCTTTGAATTATATATATGTCACCAATAAAAATCCAACTAACTACAATTAACTCATTAAGTTTAAATCTCTCCCTCCAATTTATATTCATGCAATAAGATTTTTTCTTCTTTTTAAAAGTATTAACCATTCGTATTTTTCAATTTGATTTCAATAATATTTTACAAACTTTGGGAGTTATTCAGACATATAAAAAGACAGAAAACAAACATTTACAAACCCATTTTATAAACACAAAATTACATTAAAACTTTCCTTTAATACATATATCAGACTTGTAAAGATCCATCCTAACTCTGATTAATTCATTTTATTTAAGTCACTCCCTCTAGCTTTTTCTTATCCTTCTCAGGAATGTCTTTTAAGTCCCATTTCCTCAAGAAATTCTCAAGTTTGTTAATATCCATGAAAACAAAATCCCAAAGTTCTATTAAAAATTGTAGGTTAACTTGAAGCTCTTCCACATAGAATAAACTTTTCTTCTTCTCTGAAATGTCTATCAGATCTCTTTTTCTGAAAGAATTCTCAATTCTCTATGAAGAAAAAGTCCCAAACTTGTCCTCTTAAGACGTTCTCGAAAGTTTTGTTTCAACTGTGTTAAGAGGGTTGTATTCAAACCATCATTGTAATAGAAGTTGGTGTCAGATTTGTATTTCAAAATTGCAGTTACATTATTTGCATTGTCAAATATTTGTGAAGTTATCTCATTGGATTGATAATTTTCAACACCTAATTGCACCTCTTGCTCTTTTTTATGTCATTTTTAGTACCAATTTAATTTACAAAATAAATTATTCTCTGTAAAGATGTTTGAAAAACTTCCCTAAAAACAGACTCAAGCTGAGGTTTAAACATCTTTGTAGTGGTCAAAAAGTTATTTTTATTTATTTTTTCTTTTTCTAGCCAATCATAGTTCATAAAAATTTTAACAACCGACAGCAAAATAATCCAGAGATACAGATTATTTTAAAAGTACTGTAATAGAACTACAACTTTCTATCCTTATACTTCTCCATCAAATTTAAGAAGAAACAATACTCCACACTTCCTTACTTTAGCTTTCATCCAGCAACCCTTTTCCTTGTCCTTTAACAATAAAGAAGTTTTAAAATGATGCAGAGTTTCAAAAGGGAGTAACAGGCTGTGACTAAAGAGAGCTTCGTTTAGCTAATAAAAATAATAGTCTCATAAATTGCTTAAGAAATGAAAGCCATGACTTATCGTCCATTTGAAAAATAAATTCTGAAATGGCTGTTTTGTCCAATAATAAAGTGATTGCAGACCCCCCCAACTATTGGCTCACCAGCTGCTTTGAAGCACAACTCCTAAAGCTACTTGCAGACTGTTGCTGTACGGAGTATCTTGTGGGATGATTCTAGGTCTCTCCCTAACCTAGGAGAGTCATAAAGACGAAAGGAAACCTTACTAACTTCTGTTAGTAATTTGAAGAAAAAAAAATCCAGAGAGAAACAATCTCTCTGGGCGTGTCATATCACAGGAAATCAAATTAGTTCACCTGTTATATTTCCCATTTGATCTTCCTCATAAGGCTGACATGCATCCATGTTTTTCACATGATCTCCCATGGGGAAAGCATATGTATCAACGGCCCTGCCTGAGTTGGCCGACGTAATAGCCGGGGTGGCAGTTGAGACCCCCAGACTTATAGTCATGGGGGATTTCAATCTGCCATCGGCGGGCGAAACGTCGGCGGCGGCTCGGGAGTTCTTGGCCTCCATGACGGCCTTGGACTTGACCCAATTAGTTCATGCCCCAACTCACACGGGGGGACACA